TTTTTTTTCAAATTTCATAAAGGGTAAATTTCATCAAACAAGAAGAGAATCTTCGGAACTTCGAAGAAATGGGAAAAAGCTACTAACCTATACATCCGTCAGGATTGTGATATTGTAAATCCCAGAAGGTTGGCTTACAATGGTCACAGATTCTGCCGTCAACATTCTTCCTACATGAGCATAACTCACCAGGTCGCACCTAAAAAGTATTTTTGCGCAAGAACACTACTGAAGAATTCCGAAGACAAGCTGTACCTTATCGCAACCAGCAAAATCCAAGGTGACACCAGCCGGGTGGCAATTGCATTCTTCGCATGCGGGAAAATTATAGAAATTGGGCTTACAACGCTCACATCTTTCTCCCTGAAAGATTGTGTTGATATTGTATGTTTTTTGACCTATTGAATATGTAAGAGGTTACAAACCTCAAAATTCTTTTTGCAATAACAATTTCCCTTATTGTCACATGCTTGGCCTTTCGCTCCTTCGATGAGACAACTGCAGGCCTACAAAAATGCTTTATTTATTAGGGCAATATGGGCGTTGCTAATGCGCGCGACCGCACCGAAGAGCTGCGAAAAGATGTTTTTTGAGTGCAGGATGATTACCAGCTTAATCAGAAGACGACTGAGTCCCTACCTTGCAATTAGGATAATCATAGAATCCAACAGCGCATTTGTCACAAGTTCTAGCAGTAAAATTCGCATAGCATGGACATTGACCTGTAGCCGCGTCGCATTCCATTGCTTTTGCACCAGCACCCACACAGTTGCACTCTAAGAAAGGTAAAATCTGTAGAAAATTTCGGTTTCTTAAAGAATTTCATAAATAAATTACCCTTGCAGTTCGGATATCCATAAAATCCAATATCACACTGGTCACATTTCTCTCCATAGAATCCATCCTTGCACATACATTGACCTGAGTGAGGATCGCATACGCCACCTTCTGTTCCGAGCGGGTCGCAATTACAAACTAAAGTTTAATGAAAATTGTTTTCTTAAAGACATCGACCTTGAGGACCAGTTCTCGTACATGTGCAGTTGGGGAATCCATAGAAACCGGCTTGGCACTGATCGCACATAAGTCCACTAAACGACGGCTTGCATACACATTGTCCACTTGTAGCGGAGCAGTTTGAGTGGGCGGAACCAGTTTCATCGCAAACGCATTCTAAATTTTTTATTAGAAAGAAAGGAAGAAGACAGAGCGTGCAAATCTGGTCCACATACAACTGCTGAGAGATATGAAGTATCAGAAATTAATCAATATCGCCAAGAAGACCTAGCCACGACGCGACCGCACGCGTCTGGTCTGTCTGCAGAAATGGTCTGCATAGTCCTAGTGTTTACAAATATATGACAAGAATTTCTAAAAGCAATCATGTGCTTGTAGCTGTAAGTCTAAAAATTTGTTAAATTGCTGGAAATGAATTAATCTTGCTTAAAATTCTAATTTTTTTCGTTAAAAATGCTGGATGAACACATTCTTTATGTAAGTTGTAAGCAGTAAGATACCCGGGTTGAGTTAGAAATTGGGTTATTGCAAAGTCAGCCGAATATTTAATTCAAATAACAAGCGGCAACATTGCTATAAATGCGACCAAAGCCACGCCTATATGCAATGCACGCTCCGCCTCCGCTAATATTTCATCTATACCCTTGCATCCGGCGGTCACATTGGTGAATCCAGGTTCGCATGTCTCACAGAATGTCCCTCCAAAACCGGGCTTGCATGGGCATTGACCATCCTCAGGCTTAAAATAAAAAGAAATCATATTTGAAAGTAATGGTTTTATTATCCTGAAACCAAATTACCAGGCAAATATCGCCAACTGTTCCATTAACAGCGCATTCACATTTCTTGCACTCTGGAGGGTCATAATACCCTTTAGCGCATTTGTCGCAATTTTCTCCTTCAAACCTAGGCTGACAAAAGCATTTCCCAGTCTCTTCCTCGCACTCTTCCGTATGCTTTCTGGGATCGCAAGAACAGGCTGAAATGGAAATGCATTTCATGAATTTTCATAAATATGAACTTTTTTTGAAAACTTACGCCTGCAGGGCATTGTGTCATTCCAATTAACACCGGCTGGGCGGTAGTAGCCAAATACGCATTTGTTACAGTTCACTCCTTCGGTATGATCTCTACAATTCAGGCAACGTCCACCACCTTCGTAGTTTCCATGAATGTCCAAAGAAAGGCGATTTACAAATACATCTTCGTCATATATACACTCATCCGACCGTCCAAAACAGTTGCAAGCTAAATCCAGAGGGCAATCAGCCGGTGGTCCCAACACGAATGGTTAAGAACGCTCTACTCACGTTCACATGTAAAATTGTTGTGCGCGGTCGTAGGTTGCCATTTCTTCTGCTCAAAGCCTGGGCAACACCGTTCGCACATGTCACCGCAGGTGTTGTGTTCGCATCTAAAAAATAGAATTCTGCATTCTCCCTTTTCAGAAGAATTGGGCGGAAACCTGCAGAGGAGGGCCCGGGGTCTTCTTGGGTCCAGAATATCACAGGTGCCGGCGTGCCCATTGCAGACACATCGCCCGCCCATAAGGATCTCCTTGATCGAGTAGAAGTACTACAAAGCACAATAGGCCGGGTGGTGAATTTTATTTTGGAGAGTATACAAGGTTACATCTCCCTTCTACGCTACACTTTTGTCTAACTTACCCTTCTAGTCACGGTTGGATCCGTTCTATCGTTCAAATGCATCAGATGACCTTGTAAATTTCTTGTGCCCAACAATCGGATCCTGACATTTGTAGCTCTGGTAAAGTTCTGCAGAGCTTCCGACGAGGCAAACTTGAAACGACTAGGACGGTGTTCCAAGATCTTGATGACCATCTGGAAAGGGGAAACTAGGTGACTTTGCAATTATAAGGTTGAATTCGTTCCAAAATAAGAGATCTTTTTACCTCAGCATTTTCTAAAGGATGGATCCCGGCAAGATCGGATCGGCATATCACCCGATCGTCTTCAGATATTGGTGACAGGGATTCCATGCCGAATTGCTGCAAAAGTAAGATGCACTTTTTACGAAGACTTTTGCCGAAAGTAAGAATTTCAGCTGTCCTTACCCTCATGCACTCAGCGGGAGTTTCAGCGAAGTAATACCACGGTTGGAATGTTTTTCCATAATCGGTCGATCTCTCCAAAATCCATGTTCCTGGTTTAGGACTGTTTGCCATTTGAATCCAAACATAAGCCACATGAAACTCCTAAAATGGTAATGTTCTCAGCGAAACTTACCCAGGATAACTGGAAACAGTACCTGTTCAAGATCTATGGTGATATTGACGTGATTGAATTCCATTCCTCTGGAAAGAGGTGGAGATTGCCACCAACTCGTATTACCATCAACCATATTCTCTGCTGGATGTGCATTTACCGTACCGGCCATACAGTGTCCACAACCATGTCCACCCTAAAAGAAAACATAACTTAACATTGAAATACACAAGTATTATATAGTATAATTACTTCAAATGTATAAATACTTAAAATTAATTTTCCAAAGTAATTTTCTTGCTTGTGCGTGAGTTGCGAAATGGTTTTTCGAGGTAGAGCGTAATTTGGAATGTTATACGGTTGATATTGTATAACAATATTGTATAGTACATAGCTTAACAAGAGGAAAATCTTCAAGTCTACTTCTGCAAACCTACAATTATGTAAAGCGCGACTCGCGGGCGGTCTACTCGCGATATAGCGTAAACACAGAATCTTATGCGATTATGAATGTTTGATGACGGCCCTTTGCAGCTTCGATGCAGTACAAAATACGGCCAAATGATTAGTGAGCGATAGATTTAATCATTACTAATCCATCATTTAGTTTATAAATTGAATGTGAGCCGTGCCCACCATCCTCTTTCACGTTCTTTTAATTCACACCGAGTACAATGTCATTTGTTTTTGTTACAGCTTGCCCATACGATTCTCCATCCATTTAGTGCTCGATCATTGATTGGCTACAGCAGCTGTCCCTTTTATACTCTTGATTGATATTCACCTGTACAAAAGCTTCACGCTCTTGTCGCAATTCAAGATATGCAAGCGGATGGGTTGTGTCCTCTTGGTAGGAGTATTCGTTCAGCGGTGAATATTGTGTAGAACCTGAATTTCATTTTTTTT